TCTCTCTCTCTCTCTCTCTCTCTGTCTCTCTGTCTCTCTCACTCTCTCTCTCCCTGCATCACAGACGCAACAGGCCTTCTTCTGAGACATGAATACGACATTTGAGTATCAGAAAGACGAACGTCGTCTCGCTGTATAAAGGTCAAGACACACTACAGCGGCAACGACCAACCGTAATACATCTATGACTACACGCACACCTTTATACACTTTTTATGTGTGTCAGGGCACACCTTTATACACTGGTCGTGCTGTCGACATGATCTTATATCTATATAATGTCTATAGATACGTTTATGCTGTCTGACATAGTATTAAACGATTGAAGACATCGCAAGTTTTTCCCAAGTGGGACAGTAACACGGTGTCTTGAACACGTGTCAATCTCCTGCGTACACATTTTTAAAGTAATATTCTCTTTCTTTAAATTGTAATATTGAAGCTATTTCACTCCTTCCGTAGAAATGTAACACATAACATCCAAACATATCTGCGAAGTCACCAAAGCAGCAGACGAACTATGAGCATTCTATAAATGATACAAAATTCGATAAAAATTACATTTGGCTACAGATATACTCAGCAGATACATGGTACACAGGTAGAGCAGGCATATAGAACATAGATAACCTTAGTTGCCATACAACAGTTAATGACATCATTATTAAACCAAATAATGCCCGTGGACACATAGCCACGTATGGTGCACCTTGATAAAAAAGTCGACTCTATCTCCAAATGAAAGTGTCAAAGACACTGTCACTGTAGCTCACCACAAAAAAGTGAGTGAGTGAGAAGAAGTCAGTTTTAATTGAGCAATCATCGACGTACATTATAGAAACAAAGAATATATATGTATACCACGTGACAATGGTGTTTCCCTGCCCATAACACAACTTTTGTCAAAGGTTAATTAGTTGCATGGAAGTGTTTACTTCGTATGAGTTTTTCTAGGTGGTAGCACACGGTTGCCATCTGTATATCGCAATAATAATTTATAAACCAAAATGAATCACAATTTGTGACGGTGGATGGCGCTATACCCGCTTTGATGTTTCTTAGCGATGGCGTTCGAAATAAATAGGT